CCGGGCAGAGCGCTGGGTTTCAGGTGGGGGCGAGCTGCTGTTGGTTCAGCTGCTCGGCGTGCACTGAAACACAAGCCTGGTGATAATCCCCTCCTCCCACGTGGGGGCTGAGGGATCGCTCGCTCATCTCTCTCTGGCCTTGCAATGACATTGGGCCCGTTTTCCGCTGGGCAAACCGGCAGCACTCCCTCTTCGTAGCTGCTCAATCCACTCCGGGCTTTCCAGGCCCAGTGCTTTGTACTGGTGAAGGAAACGAGCAGCTTGGGTTTAAAATCATTTTAACGGGGGCAGATCTCCCCCCAAACCGCGAACCCCCAAACCTAACTCAAAGCTAAGACCCTGTAGCCCCCCAAACCTGAGCTACATCAAGCAGCGAGCGACCCAGCGGGAGTCCTCTCTGTCTGTGCGCTGGGCACTCGCCTCGAGCTGGGGGTTTCTCTGTGCTGCCCGCTCCACGATAAAGAAAAGAGAAGACAAGAATACAGCTGGGCAGCAAGAAGAAAAGGTTATCTTCTCCTCAGGCGTGACGTAGCGAGACGGGCTGTGGATGGTAAAGTCGAAGCCGGAGCTTGCCCAGCGCTTAGTGTGCTTTTCACAGCTGCTTGTCCAGAGCTGGACATGATGCGGCCGCCGGCAGTGGCTTCTGTTCGGCCCCTGTCCTGCCGGATGGGGGATGAGAATTAGTGGATTATAACCGCAGATTGGGAAGCAATCACGGCCTCCGCTGGAAATGTCACTTGGTCGCGCAGCTGGGCTGTTTTTATTCCTGTATCTTATCTTTGGAGCGCTACACTGCGTCATCCCCCAAACATTTTTTGGGGGGAAATTCTGTTTCTTAATTAAACTCCAGAAGGAAGACGTTCAGTCACTTCAGGCAAGTGTGTTTGTTTTGGCTGTGTGTTGAGATAGTTGGAGTCCGGTTTTGCAGAGGATAGAATGGAAGTGCTCAGTTTTCACTTTACGTCCCCTATACAGTGTCAAAATAAGACTCTGTTCTGTTATTTAATTTGACACTGCAGTATCCACATATACTGTGAGGTCGGTATTTAATACCGAAGGTAAAAAATCTCCTTTTGTAACAAAGTGCACCACAATCTTTTTTTCATGGTGCATCTATAAACCTTGTGAAATTCAGCCAACTGAGATTTCAGTTCTAATGGCAGGAAAAACAGGCAGCAAACCACATTAGAAAGGTGTGTATTTATCTAAAATAATCTGCTTTTTTGAAGTTCCTGTAAAAATAAACGGAAATGCATTGGCACACTAGTTTTTAATTACAAGGTCCAACACATCTTGCGGTTCCTGAAACTTTATTATTTATTTTATTCTTAGTCTTTCTTCTCTTCTATAAACAAAGCCTTTCAGGCGGTATCTTTCAGCTAGATAGACGGGGCGAATCTGTGTTGTGAGACACCTGTTGTGTTCGATGTGTCATTATATATCCCTTGCCTAGGAACTCACAGAGTGGGAGCGAGCCAGATTATTTGAGCAAAGTTCTTTGCTCTTTTGTGTTGTTGTCGTTTGATATATGAAGGGTCGTTCTTAATTCAATTCAATGCTTAATTGGCATGTCAACAAAGTTGATTGGCATTTGCTCTAGTGCAGCCTGGATAAAACCAACAAAACAACAAGAACGCACATTGCACTTACACATACAATGTATTGAGGTGCCTGATGCCCTCTAGGTGCTATTTTGGAACCGAGCAGGGCTCCATTGGATGCTTTGAAACCTCCTCATGGAAGGGTGAAGTTTAAAAATGGAACTGGTGGGATGTAAGAGGTCTGTGGAGAAAGTAGGAGATGAGGAGGTATTTGTCTTTAAAATCTCCCTATTGGTATCCGATTCATTTGCCATCTCTTCCTCTCTGGGAAAGGGTAAAGCCCCAGTCAGTGGTGAATTGTAAAAGTGAATGCATGTCATGCATCTCAATAGGTCAGAAATCCTGAACTCTCCATGTAGAACCCAAGGCTAGAGGTGACACATTATTTGGGATGAAAAGCGATATTCAAATGCAAGCAATTATAATGCAACTCAGTTTTTCATTCCTTGGGTTTCCATCTGCAGAAGAATCCTGACTTTGTTATAATAGTAATCTATTTTTCAAAGCTTTTTTGCTCCCAAGCAATATTTTTTACCTCCTATTGTCTTAGACTCACCATGATGATATAAAAGGTACAGATTTATTCACACTGCACACAAACACAAGATGAAGCTTATATGCAATATTAAATTATGTATAGTTGGGCTTAGTTGGCCGTTTTTATCTCCTTTCTGATAGGAAGAAAAGGGCTGGTCCGCTGTGTACAGGAACAGTAGGTTCTGAAAGCTGTGTAATGACTCTTTCTAGCGCTTTGTATCCCAGTCACAGGCAGTGCAGGCAGCACAGGCAGCACTGCACCGCAGGGCAGGGGCACAGGGCTGCAGCCCCGGGCAGTGCCAGGGTGTGGGGTGGCCATTGGCACAAGCCCCTGGCAGAGCCCAGAGATCCTCACACGAGTGGCTGCAGGGACAATGACAGGAAGTCCATTAACGCGACGGCCATTGTCTCTCTCCACACATCCTCACTTCCTGCCTCGGAGGTGAAGGGGGTCAGGGGAGGGGCGGGGCTTTAGCTGGCTGTGTGAGGCCAGACGACCGGGATTTAGAAAATCCCGGGAAAGCTGGGGGGGGTGGGAGTGAAGTGAACAACCAACCGTGTGCAGAAATAAAAGACCCTTGGTTGTGAATTAAAGAATGCACTGATATTTACAGACTGTAGGGTTAGCACGTTTACCGCAGGGCAGAGCAAGGCCTGAAATTAGCAGGGGACAGGTCAGAGTCCACGAAAACCCAGGTTCCTTGTCTCACTGTGACTGAACAGAGGAAAAGCACATCGGATCATAAAAAAGGTACAGTGGCCATCAACACAAGGACAATGAGATGTTCCCAAAACCAACAGGCACCATGCAGAAAGTTCCTTTTTTGTGTGATCTGTTCCTGTCACAGAGCTTACAGTGTAACTTCTATGACCTACCCTGTATGAGAAATACCCCGTTTGGCTGCCCGGCCAGGGGAGGCGTGGGATATGCGAAGGCTCTGTGACTTGAACTCCACTGAGACTTCCCGCTGGCTGCTGACTAGCGTTGCACAGGCTTTGTCAATGAACGCTCTGCCTCTCAGTGTTTACAGTGGAGGCCAGAGACCTGTATCCTGTTTGTAGAAGCAGGATCTGTTGATCACTTGACCTTTCTGTGTTACGGCGGTGGGCCAATGCTGTCTGAGCTCTGGCGGGGGTGGAGGGCTGGTGTGTGTGTGTGTTTGCATGTATTGCTAGGTTTGTGATGGCCAATTCTGAGTAAAGAGGTCCTCACAAAGCAAATGGCTTTATTTACCAAACTAAATAGCGTCTTCTTGAAACTCCCAAGACTGTCCTGGGGCTGTCAGTGAGCGCAGAATATTACATCAGAGCAGAGCGAGAGCTAGCATTTTGTCATTTTTTACTCACGAGTACAAAAAATAAACTTGCGTTTATTAATGCTACTGGGGGTTCAAAACCTAAGACAATGTCCCCACAGCGATAGAAACCCAAACACATCTATTTTCTAAACGCTTCATCCAATTCAGGGTCGTGGGGGAGCCGGAACCTATCCCAGCATGCAGTGGGCCCAAAGCAGGGTACACCCTGGATGGGACGCCAGTCCATCACAAGCTACACACAGACACACTCACCACAGGGGCTTTGTTGCCCAGAAGCCAGTAAACTTACCAGCATGTCTTTAGACTGTGGGAGGAAACCATGCAAACAAGGGGGAGAACATACGAACTCCTCACAGACAGCACCCCAGGTCAAGAGTTGAACCCAGGGCCCCAGTGCTGCCCGAGAGAACAGCCTCATAGTTTATTTTATTTTTTTTAATAAACCCAATGGTATTTTCTTTTAAATCAGAAAGTGCCAGGAATATTTCTGGTTCTTTTTCACCCCCTGTGTAGAGTTTCATTTGCCTCTTGCTTGGAATAGTAGGTAATGGAGGGAGAGTCAACAAGACATCCACACAAATACAGAAATATAAAAGCGTGTATGTGCGCACGCCCTGTTTTACCACAGGCTGAGAGGTCGAGCTGAAGGCGTTCTGCTGTCAGGTCATCAAAGATCCCACAGTCCATCTCTCTAATAAACAGCGATGACATCAGCGACTAATGTTTAACAAAGCCCAGTTTCAGAACAACCTTGTGGTGGAGCCGCTGTTTTCGTGAGGCAGTGCTACTGTATATTCCCGGTGAACTTGTCATTTGTCTTTATTGTTTTTTTTTATGATTAATCCCTCCCTCCTGACCTCAGTGGATATTTAGGATTCTCATCTTTTCTTAACTCATACTATGAGTATTTTTTATAGTATATTTTTTATATATGAGTTTTTTATAGTTATACTATATAATTTTAAAAGGCAGGTGACACAACCGATAGCACAAAACCTTAAAGGCAGGATCGCAGCAGTGTCTGGTAGCTTGGTCTTCCTTGGTGTGCCATGCAGGGTCTGACATAAACGCTCACCCAGAAGCCTGATATTTGTACCTCTGATGAAGTGAATTGGAAATCTTGGACTATTGCACTTTTTTAGTGCATTGTGCTTGTTTAGTCAGAACTCTAATCACAGGAGAAATCCGGTTAGATTACGTGGGTCCATTTGACAGTCGGCACTGTTCTGATATTTCTTCAGCTCTCAAGGGGCGGAATTTCTGTATAAGGATAAAAATAAGTCTTTTGGTATGATCCAGTTCAGGTTTTAATACATAAGTGTGTAGGCTCTTATCCAAATGATGCTGAACAAGCACAAAAATAACATTCTGTTTATATATCATTATCCAAAATAAGGGGACAGGTGGTGGCTGACCGCCACATTGAGATCAGCTGGTATACATGAGCCTGCTGCTGGCGTACAGTGGCAATGCTGCCTTCGCCCCCCATGTCATACCGTTTGACACATTGACTGGCTGACTCAGGGCGCTTTGATGTCCGCAGGTCTGCCACCACTCAGACTGCCGGGACCTCAACAACAAGAGCCCGCTGCACCTGTGCGGGTCATGTGACTCCCGCTGCCACCAGGACGAGCACCACGCCATGCACTTCGACCGGCACCCCCGCTTCGACCTGCAGCCGCAAGGTAGGAGCCGTCAGGCCTGTGCGGGTTTGGGCCTGCCCAGAACCTGGGAAAGCTGAGGTTGCTGCTGGAAGAGGTGTTAGTGGGGCCAGTAGGGGGCGCTCACCCTGCGGTCTGTGTGGATCCTGATGTTCCAGTATAGTGACGGGGACACTGTACTGTAAAAAAGGCGCCGTCCTTCTGATGAGACATAAAACCGAGGTCCTGACTCTCTTTGGTCATTACAAAATCCCAGGGTGTATCTAGAAAAGAGTAGGGGTGTACTCGTCCTGGCCAAATTTCCCATCGGCCCTTACCAATCATGGCCTCCTAATAATCCCTATCTCTGAACTGGCTTCATCACCCTGTTCTCCTCCCCACTGAGAGCTGATGTGTGGTGAGCATACTGGCGCACTATGGCTGCCGTCGCATCATCCAGGTGGGGCTGCACACTGGTGGTAGTGGAGGGGATCCCCATTACCTCTAAAGCGCTTTGAGTGGAGTGTCCAGAAAAGAGCTATCTAAGTGTAAGCAATTCTTATTATTTGGGTTTCTCACATTCCGGTCCTGCATGGGTGTAAGCAGCACCTCCCAGAGCACTTTACATGTCTGACGTGAGAAGATGAGAGCGTCTGAAGGGTCAGAGGTGCTGGAGGAGGTCATTGGAGCCGTCTAGTTTGGTTGCTGGTCTGCTCTATCCAAAGATCCCATCCAGCTGTTTCATGTAGGATACCATGAGAGCAGCAGTGACACCCCTTGGGGCAAGGTGTCACGATCAGGAACGTTGATAGGCAGGTCCACGGATACACAGACACCCCAAACAGCTGGATGGTAAAGATGGAGTGCTCTTTTATTTACAGCGCAAAGTGAAATACTCAGCAACCAAATAAAAGCAAGGCCTAAGCTCCTCTGAGCTTCTTCGGTGACTTTCTAAGAACATTTGGGCATAAGAGCATAAAGTGCTTATCAGCTAATGAAGAAAGAACAAAGTCTCTTTCTCATGAACCTTCAACACATGTCCACAAAAGCCACTCACTTGGTTGGCCACTTCCTTCTTCCTTTCCCTTCAGTGCAATTTGTGTCACAGAGGATCTGCCCCCCGTTACCTCCGCTTGTGTATGTGACTCACCTGATGAAAATTGTGTGCCTAGTTAAATTCCATCTCCTTATTCTGCTAATTGTGAGGACTGGCCAGATGGGTTTACTAATTAGCAGTGATGAAGCCTGAAATAATTAAAGTTACATTGTTGCAGTGACTTATCCACTTTGTTATAAAAAACACAATAATATATTTCAACAGACGTTGGTGTGCCGGTAGACACAAGCTGGGGTTCACTAGAACGCGAGGCCTTTTTGTTTGAAATGTGATCATGTGTGGTGCCGTTTCTCCCCCAGGTTCGATCCTGGCACGGAACGTGTCGACGCGCTCCTGCCCCTCCCGCACCAGCCCCCCCTCCGATCTGGAAGAGGAGGATGAGGGGGGCAACGAGAGGGGGTGAGTTTCCTGGACGGCTCTGTGCCAGAGGGTTCGGGCTCGGCGTGAGAGCTTGAGGAAAGAGTGCACGTGAATTTAGTGCCTTTACTTGCTGGGAAACCATTGATCCTAGAATCTCATGCAGATTTTGCTCTGAGGATCCCAGGGTGATCTGCTCCTCCAATAGGCTCACACTCTCCTCTAAGATGTAGTGGAGGTAACAGCGATTCAAGTGAGTGAACAGTGAAGAATGTGAGCACACCAGATTCATATGCAATCCGGTACTCATTCACTCTGTGCTGTCCGAAAGCAAAGGTGACTTAACAATTGGCGATTCGAAGATCAGAAGATATAAATGCAACCATTATTTATGATTAATTTTTTTTTAAATGCAACATATATAGTGAATGCAATTTCATTTTCAGCGTTATTGCCAGCACCTTGAATGTTAAGCATGGGGGGAAGATTGTAAAATTTTGTTGATGCCACTTCCCAAGTAGCCCCTGGTCCTGAAGCAGTGAGAGCTCTCTGCTGTGCTTGGGATGAAAGCTTGTGGGTGTTCTGTTCTCTGATCCTTCATGTCATGGTTCCAGCGGGTATTTGCTTGTGTTGCCTCACAGGGATCGCAGAGCAGCAGGAATGAAGCTGCCCAAGAAGAAGCCCCGGAGACGCCACACAGACGTGAGTACAGCCTGCAGGGTGAGACACCTCTGTTTCCATCTCAAACGTCGCGCTTCAGAGTCTCCTTCTTTCCCTTAAAGGAAAATCATTCAGAGGGGGCTGGAGGGCGGCTCCTGAGTGACTCATACAGTAAGAACCCAAGTGCAGTTTGAGCTTCGTGATTGCGAGCTCTGGGTCATGTCACTAGCTGACTATAACCAGGATTCCCAGCACACGGTCACTAGCTGACTATAACCAGGATTCCCAGCACACGGTCACTAGCTGACTATAACCA